GTGCCCTTTAATATTAATAACTGCTGTTAGAACAGCTATACTAGCACTCGGTGTCAGTCAGTAATGGCTGTCCCGTCCTAACCGTGTTTGACGTGCAGTGGGTGGATTATTGACAGGTAACACGTGTTAGTGAACATGCCATATATAGCGAGCATGAACCTACTAATGGGTTTTAAAGTGCTAGACAATCGTGTAACGCTCTCAGACTTGAGGTTTTACTCAGTGAATCATTTACACTTAACCTAGCAGGGGTTTTCCATATTAAAGTCAACATGAAATCAAAATTGACTCTATTTTTCATTATTAATACGTGTTTGTGGTCTTGCACATTAATCCTGAATGCACATTATTATTAAGGAAAAATGGTTTGTCTTGACATTTTTTAGTTACAACGTAATAACTTTTCCGACTGATATCGTTTTTTAGAAGAATGTAATATTAATATATGTAAATTTATAAAAAAAATATACAGTATATCTAACATGATCATCAGGCTTTTGAGAAATGTTTGTAGTCCTCCCTTCACTATTTTCTCTTGTTAAAGATTTTCAAGTCACATTACAGAAGTTAAAAGATTTTTATTTGTTGGGGGGGGGTCATTATTTTGCTCAATTGCCGTGTTTTCACACTTGAACGTAACACTGTTTGACCTCACTCAGGACGTCTCTGGAGGAGCGACTCCAGCGGGAGCAGAGCTCAGGGAGGCTAAACCTCAGTGACACAGCAGTTGGAAGCAAACAGCTCACGTTCACTCTCAAAAAGGTAAGAATGAACATGGCCACCTGTGCAGACTGAGGCTTTATTCCACTCATTTGATTCTACTGATGATTCATCTGAAACATCTGCAGAATGCAAGTTGAAGAATGCTGAATGGGTTTTCATTCGTTACTGCGATATCTTGTTCTGTCTTTGACCCAATTTGACCACACCATAACCTTCATTCGACCAGACTCATTCCCAGCTCAGATTTCTGCTGACTCACAGCAAAGACTGAAGAATGGCTTCTGTATGCCCTGAATTCTCACCGTGGTTTTCTGTCCTTTGACCGCTCGCACGCCCGTTTAATTCCCATACTCCTCCTGTCTGTCGTACACACAAAATCACTTAGCTGCTTTGTTGGGTTGTTAAATGGACCTGAAAATATTTTAGTAACCGGATAGTTTGAGTAGTCTATATGACTCATGCAATATAATCCAAGTCTTCTGAAGTCATTTAATAGCTTGTGTAATTGTTCAGTGATGATTTACCCATTCTGCTGTAGTTCTCAAGGAAGCGTGACACAATTCATGTTCAAAGATTGGGGTCAGTACATTT